TTAAAACTAGTAAAACAAACTCGATGAAATCTTCAATATCTGATATGAAAAAGTCCAATTATAATTGTTTTTAATTTTCAATTATTTTTATATGATGTATTAGTATTATATATATATATATACAATAGATGGGTGTAGATACACAAAAAATATGACTAATTATAAATAAGTTTGTTCTCATAATAACAGGTTCCCACCAACACCCTAACCAAAAGCTTTAAAATTTTAATTTTTTAAGATTTTCAATTGTCAAAAAAGCTTTTTAAAAACAATAGGTGAGATTTATTTTCATAAAAACAACAACATTAAAATGACTATTAGACGTACAGTTATTTGATGGTATTTTTAAATATTATATATGATAAATATTACAATATTATAAATTATAATAATCTTAATCTAAATAACAATAATAAAAAATAATAAATAGGTAATATAAAAAAAAACCATTAAATCAAGGTATAAAATCGTTCTTAGAAAAATACATCAAGTGTATTATATACAATAAGTTATTCTCAATGTTCGGCCATATATTAAAAATTGTAAATATTTTTTTACTTTAAAAACAATAGAGTTTAAAATTTTTTGAAACTTTTAAGTTGTTCTAAAACATGAATTTTGACTTTCTTTTGATACAACTATAAAATAAGACTTTATTTTTCTCATATCTAAAAAATAACAAATAGTCTATGTCCTATGAACAACATTATTTAACTGTAGATTGACATTCAAAAAAACTTTGTATCATTTTGAATACCAATTAATAAAAATAAGAGTATGTATATTATTAATACTGATATAACTATTATATATATGACACAAGATAATATCAAAAAATTAAATATGATAAAATATATAAAAAAATTCACTTAACAAGTATTATATTTACTAATATATTAATGCAGTAATTGTTTGAATATTTTTCATTTATCTTTAGAATTATACTTCACTAGAATTTTACTAAACCAATAGCTTTTATAAAGCAGCTATTTTAATCTTTAGATTATAATGTATTTATTATATATTATATATAAATACTTATTTTTAAAATCTAAAATATTATTCATTCATTTAATTTTTAATTTTATGTATTTTACTTAATTTTATCCATTCATCAATGTTATATTTTAAGAATTGAAATAATATTTAAAAGAGTATCATCTAAATCTAAAAAACTATATTGGTACATAGCATTCAAATCAAGTTTTTTATTAACTATTAAATACCCAATACTCGTATAATAATGATTTGAATAACCAAATGTTTGTTAAAAATGTTTATTCCAACATTTGTGCACATCCAGTATTAGAAAACCAAAACCCTAATAATTAATTCGGGTGATGTAAAGCTATAAGTTTAATATATTCTTATAATTGAATTAAGTAGACATATCAAAAATAATACTCAATATTTAATTTTAATCTGTTTTTTCACTAAACAAGATAATATTTCACTTCATATAAATGTATTGTTATTCTGTTATAAGTTTGATCAAATTTGAACATTAATAGCACTAATAGTATACCTATTTATCTTAATCGATAACCTAATTTAATAATTATTATAATTTAACATATTAAACATGAATCAAAAATGACAAAGTTCACGGTATCTTAATTACAACAATCATGGTCACAACTTCAACAGAGAAACCTTTGCCCATTTAATGTTTTGACGTATGTCACACGAAAAGGAGTCAAAGGCAGTGAGAACTCTTCTGAGTATATGAAATATCCACCACCATGTTTATTTTAATTTGATCAACTTGGCTATAAATGACTTCTTAGAACGACGGAGAGATATTTTTATCGATTAATTTGTCATAATTTACATTTTTTAAGTACCTACTGCAAATAAAGTAGTAATAGAACATTTTTATACTTAGGCTTCAATTATAGTGTATACTATTTTTTAAATTTTTAATTGAACATTATGATTTATATTCATTAATTAAATTCTAGATTACCTACGCTATTATTTTTAAAAAAATAATTAATAATATATTACATAAGGAACATATAAATGCGAGTATAATATAATATGTAACTAAACAGATATTATATTCTTTTATTATAATTTAAAAATTTATTAATCATAAATATATTTATATATATTTACTGTAGATAAATCATCTAGTAACCGTATCAGTGTGGCACAAAGTCATGCAATAATCTTTCTCGAATGTTCGTCATCACTCGTTAGTATGACGACAATCCGTTCGAATTGGCTGTATCGCGAACAAAATGATACACTATTATGCGTAAGACATGATGTATACGTCGGACATACATGCACATTATGGTTATGTATAAAACAAAAAAATACATATATATTTGTCACCAACTTTTAAAATTAATCAATGATGAAATACGTGATAATACTTAATATTTATAATATGTCATTTGTATTATATAGGTAGTACTGAAAGTTATTATAATGCGCATTATACGATTATTTTACTAAGATTTTCCAAGAATTTTCCATATCTACTCATTTTAAAATATTATGTAAATACCAAAATTTTAAATAACAGCTATTAAATCATATGGACTTCAAATATTTACGAAAACGGAAAAACCGATGATTTACATAAGTGACTTTTTATGTACTTTATTGTAGAGTAATTCTTAGAAAACTTGTAAAATAAACGTATCACAGAACTGGAGAGGGCTAACACCAATTTCGTCACTGCAGCTCAATATTGTATTCATGCAGTGTGTTATATTATAAGTAATGCCGGACTAAATTTTGCTATAACTTCATTCGAATACTTGTTTTGATCGAAAAAGTATTATGAATATGTATTATAATAAACCCTTTCATTTATACATGAAAATGTTTAACATCGAACATATAATGTTTGTCTTAGCTACATTAGTAAGCTTCAAATATTTAGTAACAGTATAGACAATCACTCGCTGATACACGTCTGAGTTAATTTCAGCAATAACGTGAAGAATTTCATCTTTAAATTTTTCAATGGCTCATGGTTTGTTTTTTTAAACATGAACTTTGATAAAATTTAAAAAAAAATATGTATAATATCACACGATTCTTGGAACTGACCGTGAAAAGAGGAGACCCTCAAATTTCTCACGCAATAACGTGATTGTACCGCGAATATCTTTTTAAGTTGATCAAACACAAAAAACAAATCAAATTCAGTGTTCTTAATGAAACAACCTGTATTTTTTATAATATTTGACGTGAAAACAATTGGTTATAATATAACGAAATTAATGGCCAGAGATTCGTCGCACTTGCAAACCCTAGTCGTCTAATAACGAAAAAAAAAACGCAAAAACGAATTACCACTATAACCGTTGCGTTAAACTTAAAATGTTAGTACATGGTAAATAACAGGCGTAAGATCGACAAGACCTTAGACTGCGTTTATCGCAATCAAGTCGTTCATCCGCTCAGGTATTAAACCTTACGAGTTTTCGATGCATGTTTGTGCGACAACTTTCCGAACGCGTCCGTCCATAAATGTACTTAATGAATCGCCTTAGTGAGGTTTTATAAGCCTATACGGTTCTCTGAACATTGTTGAGTGGCGACTATGATAAAATCGATAGGTGATCGTCGACTGAATAATTTTAATGTATTTTATGCTTAGGTCTTAAAACTGTTTCACAACGGTCGTAGCCACCTTTTTTCTGTGCACCAATCTCAACAATTCATCGGCTTCTCAACACGACTTTCGATAATGCTATGTTTTCGAGTATAGGATTATACGTAATATATAATAAATATAATAATATGATATGTGTTCATCCACATATACGCTTAAGTACAATACAATTAAAATATGTTCTAAGTAACACGAGTCTTATTAACGAATATTACTATTGTCTACCACTTCCGATCGATGAATGCGCAACCCGTTTTCCAAGAATTCAAAGCCAAGTTAATCGTAAGGATAGAATACATATCAGTCGCCAATAATATTCGCGTCATGTTCCTTGTAGGCTATTCAATGCTTATCGAGAATTCAATCTATTTAAAGATAATTTATTTGTGTTTATCGTATAATATATAGGTTTCGGAACGACCAATTAAAATCTTGATAAAATATTCAATAGGTATATAAATAAAGTGCTATTGTGCATTATTGTCGCTTCGTATCATTCGTAGTAGATGGCCATATGAATCCTAAGAATAGATGATGGCGTGTACCTACTGAACTTTCATCGTTATTAATTATTATATTATTGTGGTTGACAAAGGTATAATTGGATAGGGTACGTGATTTCGATGCGTTGAAAGACAAAATCGCCTGAACATCCATGCCATACCATTGTTACCAACTAAAGAGTATACATTAAATCCTATAAACGTATATTGTATTTTTAGTCATAAAATAACAATGCAGGTATTGTGTATAAGTACATCAATACCTATGAAATACCTTGATACTTTTATGCTATATTTATATTTATTTATTGTAATATGTGAACAATTGGATTTAAGGCATTTCATTTTTCATTTATAGATATATTTTCATTTATATCTATGAATATTTATTAGCGTCATCAATATATTTTATGCTTGCATTAATTTTTAAATTCAGAAAAAAATAGTAACGAAAATCCGTTAAGACGACTATGATTATAAAAAACTAAATAACTAAAGACATCACAATATAATTGAAAATATGTTTTTAGTATTAATGTATCTATTAATAATAGATACAATTTCAACAAACATATGGTTTATTATTCATTAAATTTTATCCACAAAAAAGTTGGCTAAAATCATTTTACCTATAATAATATCGCAATTTATTAAAACCGTTGAACCGTATGCATTTTGTACATTTTGTAGTATTGTTATTTTTTAGTTATCTCAGTCATCATTAAAGTGTTATTAACGTTTTATTTAAGCAAAACTGAGAACAAAATAAACAAATGTTTTAATTGAAGATTTACTCATTAGCATTTACGTTCAAATTTTTTTCATTAGTAGCAAGCTTTTATAAAACAACTTTGTACACTCACCGTAGAATATCTTAATGTGTATCCTCTACATGCAGTGTTCATCTAGAAAAAAACATTAAATATATAATGTAACCAATTATAGTATTTTATTACGCTTTTACATATACGTCTCGTACAAATAAATACATAATAAACAAATCTTTTAATTAAACATGATTATTAATCTAAGCTCTACAATATGAATGTAATGACGAAAAAAATAAAAATAAACTCATGAGATCATATTTAATATTATAGGTACATACATATTAAATCATTTTAGTTTCTGAGCGGAGCGATGAATACATCGATTTTACAATAATGTATTAATGTATGTTTTTGTTTTTGAGTAAGTGTGCATCCATAAGTATTCAATAAAATACATTAATTTAAACTTTAAGGATGATTTTGAATACTAAATTAAATCTAATTTATACTTAAGAAAAGTCAAAATAAAAATTTCCAGTAATTTTTTTTTTTTTTGTTAAAAACAGGAATTATTCTAGAAAAATGAATACAAAATTTCACATAAATTTTTCTCGTGTCAATATAAAAATATTAAAAATATGTATATACAATTTTTTTTACATTTATTATACGTTTTAAATTATAATTTAAACGAAATTTGTCAAAATCGCGAAAAATTGCAATCTATTTTATAGTTAGAAATTTATAAGAACCTTTTTTTTTTTGTATCTTAATTTCAAAAGTTTAATAAGAAGTTCGTCATAAGTATTTTAAATGGAACCATAAAATCTAAAAAATAATCTATAAAGACTATTATTTGTTTAGACATTTTAAGTTCAAATTTTACCAACTTTACTAATTTAAACGATAAATAACGGTATTAATCATTTTTTTATATTTTAAAGTACATTATTCATGAAACTTCAAACTTCAAACTTTTACGTATAGGTATTATATTATACTATGAATATGGAGTCACATTAAAAAAAAAAGTAAAATAAAGTGTTTTGTGTTAGATTTTATGAGAATTTCAGAACCTGCGTGAGTGATACCAACCGAGTAATCGCAATTCGATGATATGTTTGACAACCAGGTATTTTGAAAGATGTGATAGATTTTAGATGATCTTTACTGATCAGGATTAATTCAATGTATATGGAGGCTTTAAGTTATTATTTTTTTTTTTTTTTGATAAATTAGTCTATTCGCATTTCAAGAAAAAAAAAAGTGGTAGGACGTTGATTTTTACATAATCATATTTTGCAAGAAATTTATAAATAACTGTAGTTAAGAAAGAGATTAACGAGTTTATTACATTTTTGAGATCATCGAAGAAGGATGTGATTTTGAGCGAAAGTACATCAGTATTATTAATGGAGAAGGTAAGTGGATTCGTAAGTACCTTTGGTTATACGTGCATAAGATGTGTGATGATGAAGATGAGAGATTGAAGTGGAGTTTACAATATTGAGGGGTACATTTTTTACACAGGGTTTTCGATGCAGAATGATCGAGTGTTGGATTACTTTGAGACGAGACAGATGAGTAGATTGGATTTCCTTATGTTTGGGACATCCCCAGTAATAGTTGGCTGAATAGTCATCTTTACATTGAACACATGTGCAGGATGGTTGATTTAAAGATTTTTGACAAGTGTTTAAAAAATGTTGATCCCCACAGCGGACATAATTGAAAGAGTGATTGCAATAATGATTTGTTTTAAGATATTATTACTTAATTATACTATGAATCTATTTTTACCGTTTTACGGTATAAACAGAAATATTTTATTAAATGTTGAGTAAAATAAGTCGATATAAAATTGTATAAATATATATTATTATGACAATTAAATGATAATAATACAATAAATTCCAAATTTTCGGAAAGAAATGTATGAACTTACTTAATAATAAGAATAAAATTTTACTTTATAATATTTTTATCAAAAAACTTAACTCGAAATTTACTTAGTGATATAGTCAGACCGTCTCCACTCAGAATTGATCTTCGTATACAATTATATAACTTCGAATTCATGTTTAACACACCCATAACAATAATCCACTTACCCACTCGACACCTAATGTATATACATATATAGAGTGGTACCACCTTGTCAATCTTTATTTATTTTTTTTATTTTTTTTTACTCGATTTAACTGATGATCAAGACTGTAATACAGTACCTAACAAAATTGATAAAATAAATCACCGTTTAATCGATTTTATTCTCACTTCTGAATAAATTACTTTATTAGATGTTAATAAATCCCTTGGTATTATTTATACAAATATTAAAAATTTAATAACAGGTAGGCGCCGAAAAAGACACATATTTTTTTAAATTACATATTCCTTTAATAATAATTTGGCCGAAATATTTGGTTATATTAGTTTTATGATGTAAACATTTTACGTACTTATACAAAAATAGGTAATAGTTACAATAAGATGCGCAATCAGAGAAAACCGATGAACACGTAGCCTAGTTGGATACTACTTTAATTGAATTTGGACTCTTTTAAATAATGCCAGCGTACAAAAACTTATATCTGATCGTATTTTCAATGTCCACTAACCAATTCACGTGCAAACAAACACAAACCCTTACAGTCCTATCACAGGTTTATTGTGAGTTATTGTTATTGGATCTCCATACTCGAAATATACTAAAATTCAATTCAACTACTGCAAATTTCCTCGTGATAGTTTAATAAAGTTATTTATCTTCAAGTTTTAACTTTTTTAGTAAACTATCATTTAAAATTAAATAACATCATAAGCAGTATCTGAAGTTTGTTAGTTTTGAATCCTATATAATCCAACAAAGATTACATTAAATGAATTCATAATCCAACAAAGATTACATTAAATGAATTAATAATCTAAGATTAATACAGAAATTTAACACATAATAAAATAACTCTCATACATATTTCACACATACATGGTGTATATGGTATATATATTATATATTAATTAGTATATTACAAAACTTTTTAAACATTATATAGAAAGCCCATATATTGTCATTGGCCTTTGTTAAAAAACTTTATTTTTGACTTTTTTTAAATTTTTCTAAATACCATGTAGGTTGAATTCAAAATAAAAATATAATATACAACGATAGTTTAAACTAAAAATATGATTGACAAATAAGCATTCATTTACGAACAAATGAACAATCTCTATATCATTTATAATAATTTGATAATGCAATAAAAAATCGAATTAAATTAATTAATTTTAAAATAGATAACAATAGTGTATGCTATAATATAATGAACGTGAATTGAAATTAAAATAGATTATAAGGAACTTCAGCTTGGACATGAAATAATGTCCCCAAATCAAATATTACAACAACCCAATTCCGATTAAATAATCCACAAAATATCAAGGAACTATCTTAAATGAAATATTTACCAAAAACGAGTATCAAAGTACAAAAAGAAAATTAAGAAAATAATCAACTCAATAACACACAAAATACATGCATTACTCAGATCAAAAAATTAACTTGAAAAACAAAAATATTATTAAAGAAAACAATAATTATTATAAGACCAATTTCGACTTCAGAATAAAAATATGGAGTAAAATAAAAACATCAAATTTTTGTACTATTGAAGCATTACAATCAATCTGTCTACATCTGATAAGTATAGCACAATTTATATTACAAATATTACAGATGATTCCATGCCCCATCAACCACTAACAGAAAATTATTAATTTAGCAAAGCTTTCCAAAACCAATTCTGATAATCAAATTGTAGATTCAAAAGAAACTGATCTAAAAACCGACTAAATAAAAATGAAAACTATTAATAAACAATTTGATAAGCGAAACATGAATACTTTCCATATTGTAGAATGTAATGTAATCATATATATACTTATATACTACATTATTTAATTATTGTAACTGATTGTTGAATTTGTAAAAATAAAAATAAAAATTCAATAAATTTAACAGAAGAATCATTAAGAATACACCACCACTATAATCGTTTCTGATATGAGGGTGTATACGTGTAAAGTGAATAATTTTTTTCAATAAAATATATTTAAATTATCTTAGCAGAAATAATGTAAGGTATCTACTATCTACATTTAGATAAATTTCTAATTTAATGTCCAGATTGAGTTACGCCCACATTTGTGTTATTTGTGGCTTCTCTCTTAAAACATGGCAACTTTTCATCCAATAAAACCTATTTTGTATTGTTAATTTTTAGTTTTAAAAATTAGAGAAAATTAACCAATTATCCAATTTATAGGTAAATCATTATATTTGTATGTTGGTCAAAGCATGTGATGACAAGAAGTAGTAAGTAGGTAGTCGTAAGTAAATAATATGTATAATATGACAATTTAAAAATGAATATATCTCGATTAAAAATTAAAATACTGTAAAAAACTATTCATTATACACAGTAATAAAGTTCTTACTTTTAAATTTGGTATTAAGTTAGTTCACATTATATTAAAGTCAACAACACAAAATTGGTTCGGATGGATGGAAGTTAGCGATTTTTTACATAATATTGTGTAAGATACCCACCGTTCTCATAATAATAAATTATTGAAGTGTAGGAACATAAAATACAATAATAAAAAATATGAAACATTTATAAGGTAGGTTAAGTATACAATGATTTGAGAAAAATTAACTCAAAATAGTTTTTATATAAAAATATATGTTAAAATTAATTACATAGTTTTTTAATACTTTCAACCATTGAGAAAAATCTAATTAACTTTTAGTTTAAATTTAAAATGTAATCTATTAATAATATAAAGTGAACGCATCTCAAAACATAAAAAAAAAATTTAAAACAAGGTTCATAGGTTTCTAACTAACGACAAAAAAATGATATCTATTTTTTTAATGACCATAATATTGTTGAGAAAATGTTTGTATAAATATATAGTAGTAATTTAAAGTTTTCATGTTTCTCTATTATTATTTTTTTCCTAATAAATTAAAACAATTTATTGCAATTTAGTAAAATAATTTAAATTAAGATTAATTATCACGGTAATTTAGTGATTTTTATATATTCTATTTTTGATAACTATACGCATGT